ACAATCTGTGTTATGCGGATGACACAACCCTGCTTGCTGAAACTGAGGAGGACCTGAAGCGCTTGCTGCAGAGGGTCAAGGACTGCAGCCTTCAATAAGGATTGAGGCTCAATGTCAAGAAGACAAAGATTCTCACCACTGGCCCAATTGGCAGCATTAGGATGGATGGTGAAGATATTGAGATTGTTCACAGCTTTAGTCTTCTTGGCTTGGCAATCAACATTCTTGGCACCAGCAGCCAGGAAATTAAAAGACGTATTGCAATGGGAAAGTCTGCTGTTAGGGACCTCTCCAAAGTACTGAAGAGCAACGGTATCTCTCTGTTATGTATCAGAGAGTTGGACAATGACTAAGGAGGATAGAAGGAGAATTGATGCCTTTGCGCTTTGGTGTTGAAGAAGAGTATTGAGGGTACCAAGGACTGCTAAAAAACCAAACAGATTCATCTTGGAAAGGGTTAAACCAGGCAGCTCCTTGGAGGCAAGGATTCTGAGGCTTCGTCTGACGTACTTTGGTCATGTTACAAGGAGAGAGCAGTCAGTCCTTTGAGAAGGATCATGCTTGGGAGTGTGGAGGGCAGGCGCAGGAGGGGAAGTCCCTCTAGGAGATGGATTGATTCGGTGACTGGGGTAATCAGGATGAGTGTGTTGGAAACAATGAGATTGGCACAGGACAGAACAGAGTTTAGGGCTGTTGTACATAGGGTCGCTATGAGTCGCAAGCGACTCAGCAGCACATAACAACAAACAACACACTAAACACTTCTGAATATTTTTCCTAGTTTAGTCTCTGAGAGATGAACTTTTCAGGGAACAAAATATACATTTATTTAACAAATGTTCTTTATAAAACCTATCTGAGTTTATTAAGCCCACAAATATTATTCCAAGGGAAACTTTATAATAACTAAGTAGGGGGATAACAGGTGAAGATATTTCAAGAATTGGAGGAGTGGGACAGAAGAAATGTCTGAAATATTCATTTTATTTATTTAAGTTGTAGTTTGCGTGAAAAGTTAAGAGAAGCATAGTTTTGCATTCAACAATTTATATACATTTTGTTTCCTAGCAGTGGTTGCAAATTCCTTCACACAGCACTCTCTCCACTCCTTCATTGGTTTCAGTATCCATTTATCCTTTCTCTTGTCCCTTCTTGGCTCTTGACCTTTGTGTTTTGGGAAAATGCTGCCCTTTTGATCTTGAATGGTGGATTGCACTGAAGAACACATTCCTCTCTGGTCTTACTATTCTCTTTGTCTGTCTGTCCTTTGACTGAGAGTAGATCCCTGGGGAAGGGTTTCTTTCCAGGCTTGAAGGGTTTTTCTAGGGACCACGGTCTCAGGTCCTCCTCAGTCTCTGGTAGATTAGTAAATCTGGTCCTTTTTCTGATTTTTAATTTTGTTCCACAATTTTTTCTTCCTTCTTCTCTGTCCAAGACCTTCTACCATGATCCTTAACCAAACAGTACTTCAAACTCAGTGCACTGCCTTCAAGTTAGAACTGATTCATAGATTACCCCTCCAGTGGGCTTATAGACTTTCAAACCCTTGGGAGGAGATTACCCATATTTCTCCCTTAACACAACTAGTGGATTTGAACTGCCCACCATCGTTGGGTTGGCAACCTAAATCCCTAACCACTATGTCATCAGAGTTCCCTGAGCAGTACATAGGAAGCGATTTATTTTTGTCAGAAAACCTTCTGTTCACATAATTTTTAAGTTGGGGGGGGGGGAATAGCATTACAGTGGACTTGGAAGTTAAGAGGATTGGCCTCTAAATTAACAAAGCGCTCTTTCCAGCTATTCACACCTGATCACACAATAAAACCATTATTAGGAAGACTTCCACAAAGAGGCCACTAAATGTACTTTCTCCCTCAGCAAAAATCAGCCAGAGACAGCATTTACTGTAAAAATTATCTGAGTTTAATCATTGTCAACATCAGAACCATCATGCATTAAAGTATAAAACCTGTATGTACAATTACACACAAAAATAAATGTTCTTTGTGAGGTGCAATTTTCAGCAAATCTGCCAAACAGCAAGAGTCACTCTTATTTGGGGCTTGAAAGGGGAAATGGCAATTTCCAAGGCATTTCATTCCCCCCACCTCTGGCTGAAGTGACCCTCAGAAGATCAATTTGCAAAAGCCTGAGGTAAGAAAGTATTAATAATACCAGGCACTGTTCCTCCCCTCCTATGGAAGAGATGAATTTTCAGGAAACAGTTTCCATCATTTATTATACTGATGTTCCATCCATCTGCATCATTAGGTTCCGTAGTTACCATGACAATATGATGCCTACAGCAATCTGACTTGATAGCCAGATGCCAGAATGTGGGGGGAAAAATAGGACCTGCTAAGAAAGTGGGAGAAATCTAATTAATCTGAAACAAAGGGAAAGTGTGCATAAAACCAGGACCAACAGAGAAACGGCTGGAATGTCACCCAAGAGGAAATTGTGAAGGAAAGCAATAATCAAGCTTCAGCGTGAAAACCTCACCAAGTTGCGCTAGGTCCTGGTCTATAACAAAGACTGAAGCAGACGCCAATGTTAATATAGAGGATTGCTCTCGGCCTCTCCCAACTCCCACTGCTTTCTGCTGCAGAGCTCAGTGGTGTCACCTTCAATTCCAGTAGTTTTCTTAAGGCCCTAACTTTCCCTAGGATACCATGCCACCACGCTAAGTGCTGTCTCCATGGCAGTCAGCATACTTTCAGTCTCCTCTCAACATCCAGGGTTTATTTCCTCTTGGTGAGATAACATCATAGTTCTGAAGATCATCTTAAGAGATTGTGCCGGACTGTGTCTCAGAAGACCCTGCTTCTCTGTCTTCCAAGTGCTCGGGCAACAGGCCAGCATGACCCCCTTGTGGGCCAGCACACAGCACAAAGGACTGAGGGACTGAGGAAATGAGAGCAACTTAAAGATGTTTAACCCAGAGATGAGCCTGGAACTGAACCAAATGGGCATTCGCTTCAGGGCTGGGTGGGATAGCGGCGCTGGGCTAGACGATTTGGCCGGCTCAGGCTGGTAGTCACGGAGAGCTGGAAAAGAAGGCAGAGACATCACCTGAGATTGCAGGCTCACTGGGAACACTGAGGGAGCTCTGGTAGCATGATCCCCAAGGAGCTGCAATGCCAGCTCAAAGGCCAGGCCTCTCAGGCAGTCTGAATCCACAGTGGCTCTGAGGGCGAAAGATGGGCCATCTCCCCTCCTGCCATTTACAGCTGTGCAAACTCAGTGGAGGGTCAGCTATATATCCATTCCCACTCACCAGCAAGGAACCTGAGGATGAGTTTGAGTACACTGAGCTAGTGAGCTCAGAAAGGACTTCCTCTGCAGTACACTTGCAATAGATTATTATTCTAATAATCCAGCTTCACCCTGTACCTTCACCCCTCAAATATGGTTGAAAGAAGTTTGTGTTTATAACGAGGGGAAGCCAAAATCAGCATAGGTCTATTCCAGGTCACCGAGGAGTCAACTTCTCTCAGGGTTTGCAGAGATACCTGCATCTCCAGGAGGAAGCAGACAGCAAAGACTGGGGCGCCCCAAGGCTCTCAAGGCCAATGAACAGTCAAGAGTCATATAAAGAATGTCATTGTCAGGTGCTGTCGAGTTAGTGCCCTTCAAGGTAACTATGTACAATAGGTTGAGACACTGCCCAAATATTAAGAATGTTGTTATTGTTATGTGTCATTGAGTCAGAGCCAATTTATAGTTGACCTTCTAATGGATTTCCATTAAATTTTGTGGGAAGATATTGCCTATCTTTCTCCCAGGGAGCTGTGGTAAATTTAAACAATGTCTTTGGGTTGGCAGCACAACTCCTTACCATTAAGCCACCAGAGCTCCCTGAAATCATGATTACCAACCCATTTTACAGATGAAGTAAGTGAAACTTAAGAGAGGCCAAAAAATGGCTCTGTGACTCACATCTAGTAAGTGATAACCTGGGATTGTAAACTCAGGTCTCCTTCACCCAAAGCCTGTGTTCCTAACCCCTCCACCTCTCTCTCTTACCTGAGGAACCTGAGATGGATTGTAGAGAGGAACAGCTCCTTTTAAGGTAGGTGGGGGGAGCAGAGCTCCAGGGTTGAAGTAAGGCTGAGAGGAGACACCCTGGAATGAAAAAAACCAATAGAAAATCACATTCATCCACATACTGCAGGTTCCCACATCCCTGAATGTGGAGGTCTTCCCTGAGCATCAACGTGGCTCACAAAATAAGTAAGATGGGTTTCTTGATTGAACTCAGGGAATTCCAGGCACAGAAATATGGTTAATGTGAGTGCAGACAACTTTTGGAGCTGGGATGGTCATGAAGACACTCGGGTGTCTACTAGCCTGGGACAAGTACCAAAAAACTATGAAGCACCACATTATAGCACAACTCATTGTCATGAAGCAGGAACCACTCAAAGCTGAACTTCCCTTGGATTTCCAAGGCTATAAATTGCAGAGATGGAGACTGCTCATCTTTCTTCCTCTGAATTGCTGGTGGATTTGAACAGCATAATTCCCTATGGACTATGTCACCAGTGCTTCCTATAATGTTATCATCGTAAAATGGTTATTCACTGAAAGGCCTAAAACACTACACAAGTTCTCTAACCAGGTTAAAAAAAAACAAACAAAAAAAAACACAAACAACAACAAAAAACCAAGACAGCCCTTTCTAAAAAGATGGCACCGAAAGCAAAGAAGGAAGCTCCTGCCCCTCCCAAAACTGAAGCCAAAGCAAAGGCATTAAAGGCCAAGAAGGCTGTTCTGAAGGGCGTCCACAGCCACAAAAAAAAAAAAAAAAGATCCACATGTCACCCACCTTCCGGCAACCTAAGATGCTGAGACTCCAAAGGTAGCCCAAATACCCCCAGAAGAGCGCCCCCAGGAGGAACAAGCTTGACCACTATGCCATCATCAAATTTTCCCTGACCACTGAGTCAGCTATGAAGAAGATAGAAGATAACAACACACTTGTGTTCTTTGGGGTGTCAAGGCCAACAAGCACCAAATTAAACAAGCTGTAAAGAAGCTCTATGACACTAATGTGGCCAAGGTCAACACTTTGATTAGGCCTAATGGAGAGAAGAAGGCCTATGTTCAACTTGCTTCTGACTATAATGCTTTGAATATTGCCAACAAAATTGGAATCATCTAAACTGAGTCCAGCTGACTAATTCTAAATACAATTTTTTTTCTCGCACACACACACACACACACACAAAATGTCCACACAATGGGCATAAAATCCATATGAGTGTGTATAACCCATTAAGAAGTTATTACAGCCTTTGCCAAGGAGATGGTTTCTGAGTGACTAAAATGGTTTGTGCATGACTATTAACCTAAAGTTTGGTCACTTGAATCTACCCAAAAACACCATGGAAGTTGGAACTCTGATGGCTTAGTGATAGGAATTGCTTTGCCAACTCAAAGGCTCATGGTTCGAATCCACCAGATGCACTGCAGGAGAAAAATGAGCAGTTTCCTCCCAGGTGGTTTACTACTTTTGAAAACCTGCAGGAAGGTCAGGTATGAGTAGGTTCCAACTCGATAGTACATTATAACAACATAACATCTACTTCCATAAAGACAGCTGTAAAAACCCTACAAAACAGTCTGTGGGATTTCCCTGATTAGAATCAATTTTACAGCAACAGGTTTGGATTTTTCTGTTTTGTTTTGTCAAGAATACAGATGAATTCTGGCTCCTACTGAAACAAAGATTGGAGCTCTGGTAGTGTAGTCTGGAGAGAGTTGTGTTGTTAAACCCAAAGACCAGGTCTCTCTGGAGGTTCAAATCTACCAGAAGCTCCTCGGGAGAAAGATGGGCAATCTACTCCCTTGCAATTGGTAGCCTTGGCAATCCAACAGAGGGTCAGCTATGAGTGGGTACTGACTCACAGCAACGGGAAAGAGAAAGCCTCCGACAGAGGAAGAAGTAGTTTTCCAGGCTTCCCCTGAGAAAACGCCCTCTGTTTTCCCCATGAATTGGTCTCTCACAGAGCACTCCCAGGCCCCCACTGAAAGTTCTGTCCTCACACACAGCAGGCACTGTGGCTGCTCACCTGAGGGCCCTGTAGAGCTCCAATCCCCATGCCCTCCGCATTTCCTCCACTGGGCATGAGTCCTTGAGCATGACCACCACCTAGAAAACAACGTAGCTACGTTCCTTGCTCTGGACAGAGGAGGCCCCATGCCTAGAAGCTACCCTCCCCGCCCCTGAGTGCTAAGAAGTTAGCAGTACCTGAGTTCTGGGAGAAGGTGCTGGGGGCCTGGGGAGGCCAGGGCACAGGCGGTGGGGTCAGGGAGAGGCTTGGGCCAGCTTGCGGGGGAGAAGATGTTCTGGGGGTCTCCTGCAAAGTGGAGTTTTAATTTAGAATGTTTTGTGGAAACGAACTACTGTATTCAGCATTCACACCTCTGCTTGCATTTCTGCAACACCCACAATACTGGTTCTTCCAACAACCCGCAGCTCTCCCCCAATATCCACAATGTTCCTGCTCATCTGCTTAATAAACCATACTAGCTCCCTCCCAGCAGTCCTCTGAAGGTAAAACTCTCACTTTAGCTTTTCAGACTTTTAATAATCTGCCTTTGTCCTTGTTGGACCCATTTATTTTCCTCAACCTCTCACAGCAAAATCTATATTTTATTCTGACTGGGGTAAAGTTGGGACCCTCCATAGTGCTATGGCAATTTCCTCTGAATGAAAGGCCCACAGAACAGGGACACTCTGACCCACTGTCCCTGGGGGTCACCTCAGAGTCAGGATTGTCAGATGAGTCTTCTTCTCCAGAGGGGGATGTGCTGGTGGGCTTTGATCGAAACCAGCTGAACCATCCAAATCCTGAGCGCTAGAATGGAAGGAAAGATTTCAATTCTCTAGGTTTGCTTCTCCCTGGGGAGGCTTTGGAGCCAACGGCCAAATTCCCATCGCTATTCCATTTGGGAAAGGAAGGTGAGAGGAAAGCTGGAGAGAGGTAGGTGGGAAGATAAAAAAGGGATGAGAGAGTAAAGAAAAGGATGGGCATAGGAAAGAAATAGTGAAGAAGGAAGAACAATTCTCTCCACCTTTGTATTCTCTTTGGCATCTCCTGGCTTTTCCCTCCCATCATTATTTCTGAGAGAGCTTTCATCTTCGTCCTCAGAGGACTCATCTTCCTTGACTGAAATGCTAGAGTTCTCAGAACTGGTCCGTGCTCGGGGAACCAGAGGAGCCTGCAGTGAAAGAAAAGAACTGATATTTGTATAGACCTTGATGGGTGACAGAGGCACCTCCACTTACACCCACACACACACACCAGACCTGTTCAATATGTCAGTGCAATAGTCTTGGGAGATTGTATCTTACTGATGAGCTAGAAATGTTTGGATGTGAAAAATTATTACTTTAAGGTCTCAAAACAAAGCCAGAAATAAGAGAGATGCAAATCAAAACCACAATGAGATACCATCTCACTCTAGTAGCAGCATGGCAAAGTTTAACAGGACAGCAAGTAATAAATGGAGAGTATGTGGAGAGATAGGAACTCCGGTACATTGTTGATGGAATTGTAAAATGGTACAACCACTCTGGAAGGCAGTTTGGCATTTCCTCGAAAAGCTGAATATAGAAATTCCATATGACTCAGCTATTCCACTGTTTGGAATATACCATGATAACAGTACAACGTTCATAGCAGCATTATTCACCATTGCACAAACATGGAAACAGTCTAAATAGCCAACCACAATCAAATGGATTGAGAAATTATGGTACATTCACATGATGGATTACTACGCAGCACACAGGAGTAATGATTTTGTAAATTAGTACCTAATTTGGGAGGGACTGGCAAGCATTCTGTTAAGTGAACTAACTCAATTCTGTAAGGACAAATACTGTATAAGATGATTCTTTTAGAACAATAAAAGGAGGGGAGGGTGGGAGCAGAATAGGGTCCTACAATTTTGTGGGTTGAGGGAAGGGTGGGTGAAGCAAATGGGAAAGATCTAGTGTGAAAAACAATGCATATGAACTTTGTATATAAACCAGTATGTTGTTGATGATGATTGCCTTCGAGTCAAGCATGACTCATGGCAACTGCATGAAAAAAAGGCCCGAAGCCCCACTACAACTATCAACATTTATCAAAGTTCATAGAGTTTCCGGAGGCATATTGTTTAGGAAGTGACTGCCATTCCTGCTTCCAACCAGTACATATAAACCAGTATATATCAGGTTTTCAGAGGCTGTAAATCACATGGGAGGAGACTGCTCATCTTTCTCCCATGGAGCAGCTGTTGGATTCAAAGCACTGGCCTTTGGGTTGGCAGCACAGTTCCTTACCCACTTTACTACCAGAGTTCCCTGTATGTATCACGGTAGGGAGAAAAATAGAGGGTGTACTGGTGGCCTCGTGGGTAAGGAATTGCTCTGTCAACTCAAAAGCAGGTGGTTCAAATCCACCAGCTGCTCTAAGTGAGAAAGATGGACAATCTCCTCCCTTCTGACTTATATTTTCTGAAAACTTACTAGAGGGTCAGCTATAAGTCAGGTCTGATTCAACGGCAATCATGGGGAGGGTAAAACTGCTGTCCTTCTTAGTATTTACAGCCAAGAAAAGCTTAACGAATATAACTTTTGGCAAGTACTTTGGTAATACACAGAAAATACTATTTTTGTTTTCATTGTAATTAGCACGATATTTAGGGAGCTCTGGTGACCTAGTGGACAAAAAGTTGTGCTTCCAACCCAAAGTGGGGTGGTTCAAGTCCACAAGAGATGAACAGTCTCTCTCCTGTGCAATTTATAGCCTCTGAAAACCCAGTGGAGGGGCAGCTACCAGTCAGTTCCAACTCAACAGCAATGAGTTTGAGGGATTTTTGTACAGTATTTACTATATATGCCAGGCACTGTTCTAAGCACATTCTATATAGCCATTCATTTAATTATCCTAACAATCATATAATGTAGGTGCTATTTTCATCATCAGGGATGATAAAAACAGTTTATGCTCAACTACACATCAAAAGGTAAGAGGCTCAAACCCATCCAGCAGTCTCACACCAGAAAGGCCAGCCAAGAGCACCTTATTGGCTCATCAAGCCTCAACAATGGGTTTGGATTTGGATCTATTTTCTTTTTTTTTATTTTTTTGGGGGGTCTATTTTCATCATCTTAGGGAATGCTGATGGCATAGTCCAGAGGGAAGCTGCTCTACTAACCCAAAGACCACACCTCTCTGAAGGTGTGAACCCACCAGCAGTTCCCTGGGAGAAGACAGAAGGGAGATCTCCTACCATGCAATTTCCAGCCTTGGAAAACCTGCTGGAGGGTCAGCTATGAGACTCTTCTGACTTGATAGCACTGAGTGTACACATATGAGAAGTCTAAGTCACAGAAAGGTTAACCAAGTTGTCTGGGGTTATACAGATAGGAAAAGGCGGAGCTGAGATTTCAGTCTGAGCACTCTGGCATTCTTTCTGGGGATTTTTTTTTCTTTTTTAATGGTAGTTTATATGAAATTTTAAAGAATAAATCTGTTTTCCATTAAAAAATTTATATGCATTTTATGTTATGGCATTAGCTGTCATCCTTTCCATTTCACTGCACTCTCCCTACTTCCTCCCTGGATTCCCCATTTCCATTCATCCTCTTTCCTCACCTTTCCTGTCTTCTGAGCTTTGTTCTGGGCAGATGCTGCCCCTTTGACCTTCACTGGTCGGTTATTGTGAGGAGGACACTCATACACTCTTCACAGCTGTGCCTGTTCACTCCATTGACCTGTCTGCAGTCTGGTTGCAGGGTCTTTCTGGGTTGCCACGTGTCTCACCAGACCAATAACTCTGGGGGCTTTAATGTTTTTTATTTTGTTCTATCAATAATTCTGGGGGTTTTAATGTTTTTTTTTATTTTGTTCTATATCTTTTCTTCCCTCCTTCTCTCCAGAACTTACTATTATGATTGTTCTAGGGATTTCTTCTGATTATTCTAGACATAGGCAAGAATTTATATACTATGATGTCCATTGTTGTGTTTTATATGCTAGTGCAAGAAGGAAAGAAAGGAAGAAGAGAAATGAATGAAGAAATACAAGGAAAGAAAGAAAATGGAAAGAAATTGTCATATTCTAGAATGGGTCCTCCAGAACCTGGTCTCTTAACCATCTCCCTAGCTGACCTTGTCTCTCAACCCTTTCTTTTATTGCTTGTTGGATTTGCACAATAATCCAATTCTCTTGCTCATCCTTAGTTGCAAGTAAGTTATTCAGTCTTTCTTCTTTGCTTTCTCCATTTCTGCCTACAACACTTCTTTCCTAGATAATCTGAACAGCTCAGCTCCACGCTCCACTGATCTCAAAGAGGCCCTCATTGGAAGAGTCTTGGCCAGCCTACCTTATGTATAGTCGTGTGTGTGTGTGTGTGTGTGTGTGTGTGTGTGTGTGTGTGTGTGTTTTCAGTTTCCTTCACTAGATATAAGGACCCTTAGGGGCTGTTTTGTCGGGTCACTGACGTTTCCCCCAGGCGCTGTGAGATACCTAAAACCCAGTTATTACATGTGAATGAATGAGTGAAGGATGGCAGTTTGATACAATAGCTTTTGGCATGTACTATTAAATATTTATGAGTGACATTTTAAAAATCTCATTATATAATAGTAGGTAACAAATAAGAACTAAAGCTTTATATGCCATAATCTTAACCATTGAACTGTTTGTGAATACACACATACAAACACACACACATACACACATATATAAATATACATATATACACACATGAACAAATGGAAAATATTAGAATACAGTAAAATATTTGTATGGAATTAACACTGATATTGCATTATCTCCTTGGTTACATAATACTTTTCCTTATTTTCCAAGATTTTTATAACAGTAATATGTTGCATTTTTGTTCCAAAACAAAAAGCAATAGGAAAGACCAAGGCACAAGAGGAAGCAAACTATTACACTGAGGGGATCACAACTACAGTCCGGAAACAAACAAATAGTATAAACTATCGCATGCAAAACTTGTTTTTTCTTTTCCAACTCTCACCCAAGCCACAATAAATTTAAAAACAACAGTAAAGGAATAAAAATATTCGGTCTGTAACCCTTTTAATATTATGGAATATGACATGCTATTACCCTCCAGCCAGGCAAAGCTATAGAACATTTTCCATTTGGGAGCTGATGCTGCCCACTGGCCAGGGGAGGAACACATAGAGAACAATTAGAGAGAATGGTTAACTAGACCTGGTCACCTGCAGAACACTTGCCCAACTGAGGGGCTGTCTCAGATGCTGTAGAACCTTCTTGAGAATAGAGCAGTGAATCTCCAGGGTCTTTCCGAGACAGGAGGAGAATGGTGAGCATATGGTACCACAGAGAGGATAGTAGGATGTCAGAAGGAGCAGAGATCTGAGAGCAAAGCAAACAGACAAGTGGTCTGCTGGCCCCTCTCTCCACAATGACAGAGAATGGCGGGATGGAGAATAACAAGGCCAAGCCTCCGGCCCAGCTCCTAGACACAGGAAAAACAAGAAGAAGAAAGGGAGAGAGGGGGAGAGGGGGAACGGGTGCAAGCCTGAGCATGGGGGAGGTGTTTGCCAGTGGCTAAGAAGTTCAGATGACTGGTAAATACAGACTCGTCAGGCATGAGCATCTTGTAATGCTTTTTCATCCTACCTGTGGTTTGGAAATGACCTCTTGGACATCGGGATGCTGGAAAGGTTCTTGAGACAAAGTGTTCTCTGCTGCGCACAAAACAAAAAGAGCAGTTTCAAGGTGTGCTCTCACTTCCCCTGAAGAAGGTTGATAGGAAGCTGTAAGGATTTCCTAACAACAGCAGAACCTGAGAACCCATGACCCTAAGGGGATCCAGGGAACGAGAAGTCAGCTTTCACAGCAACTCCTGACACTCTTCACACACCCTGTGCCTCCAAACACCACAGTCACTGCTTTGGCATTTTGGAAAACAACACAAGATTCAACCATTCACAGGGATTCTCCACTACCTTCCTCCAAGTGTCCTGTGGGACAGGACCTCATCTAAGGTCTAAGGGCTCACCCATATGTTTGGCTCCTAAGTGTCTCTCAGCCCCTATGGCCCCAGATCCACTTAAACTTTCAGGAAATGATGGGCAAGGTCCAATGGAAATTGATTTTATAAAACATAATGTATGAGAATGATTGGATGAAACACAAAGTGAATGAAGAATAATGTGAAACACAATGAATACAAGCTTTGTAGGCAAACCAATTTAAAAAAATTGTAAAATAGAATGTATATGAATGATTATATGAAACACAATGTAAATGAAAGACTGCATAAAGCATAATGTGTATGAATAAAACAATGTAAAGGAATTATTCTATGAAAACCAATAAAAAATATAAAGCAATATAGATTGGGGGGTAACTTTCAGGAAAGACTAATTGCTGGAAAAGGTTATCCTGCTTGATAGAGTAGAGACTCAATGAAAATGAATGCAAGCGTCTGAGGATGGACTGACAGAGGCTGCAGCCCTGGACTCCTGCATAACCACAGGTGTGAGGACAGTGCCAAACAGTGGCACTTTTTCCACCCTGCATCCTCTCCTAAAAACTCCCTTATCCTGGAGAGGGATGGAAGCAGCTGCCGTTTGTTTGCTATACTTGCCCAGCAGAGATTGGACATTCTATAGGCTAGACTGTGAGAGAGCTCCTTTGGATGTCTGTGAAGTACCAGCACACTGTGTACTGGATGGCAGATAGCAGGTCCTCAACAATGTCTTCAATCCAAGAGGCTCTGAGTTCCCTTGACAACTCAAAAGATCCTGGTAGTATAATGTGCACACCACACCCCACCATCCAGTTCCAACCCTCCACCCTCTGAAGAGTCCCTGCTTCTCCCTCACCTGAGGTGCCCAGCCCAGCCCCACATCTTACCAAGGGGTGGCTGGGTCTGCAGGTTCTCCTCCCCCGCCCATGCTCCGGGAGCTGCTGTTACTGCCACACTGCTGCCAGTCCCAGGTGGGTGGGTCTCAGGAATGGAGTACAGAGGCACCTGTGTCCCCATCTGCCCTGCATCCGCTCCCCCTGGGTAGGAACCCAGCTGCAGGGGAGTGGAATGCTGCAGGCCAGGCTGGGTCACACCTGTAGACTCCGGCAGTGGCCACGAGGCTGAGTGGTGACCAAGGGGCTCTGAGTAACCTTGATGTCCCGAAAGATCCTGGTAGACAGAGTTTTCTAAAAGATAATTATAATATCACTATTATAAAAAGCTCAGGAAAGGTTTACACACAGAAACAATCTTGGAGATTTAACAGAGATTGGAAGAAAGGGAGGGGATTAACAATCAATAGAAAAGGTGGGTGAAGGGAAAGGAAACACCTAATAAGGAACTGATTAGACATTGTAATAAATGAATCACATTAATAATGATAATAAATATCATAAAATAAAAAGTTTGAGTGACTTTATGAGACATCAATACAATTTATAAGCTTTAAAATAAAAAATTAAAAAATATTTTTTATTGAGATTTTAATGAAAGTTTCTAGAGAACTTGGATTTCCATTCATTCTTTATTGCACATTTTCCTCCCTCTCCCCCTCCTCCTCAGTTCACTTTTTTCTTTGGAAAAAAAGAAAATTCTTTCGTTCTTATACAGTCTCCCACCCAGTCTACTTTACTATGCAGTTCTTATTCTGGACTCATGTCAATAATACCTAATCATATATTCCTTGTATATGGTTCTCTCTCTCATCTGTTTCAATGCTGTATATATTATTTTCCCCTCTTTTCTTAGTTTCCCCCCAACTCCCATGTCAGTCCTGTTTTATAACAGTGGCATTATGCGGTGGTATTTTGTGACTGAGATATTTCACTCAATATAATGTCCTCTATGAAAAAAAAATTTAAAAAAATAATGTCCTCTATGGTCACCCATTTTGTATAATATTTCATGAGTTCTTTGTTTTTCAATGCTGCATAATATTCCATTATGTGACTATACCACAGTTTCTCTATTCATTCGTTTGTTGATGGGCACTTGGATTGTTTCCAACTCTTTGCTATTGTGAACAAAGCAGCAATAAACATGGATATGCATAGAATTGTTGTTGTTGTTATGTGCTATCAAGTCGTTTGCGACTCATAGCGACCATATGTACAACAGCCCTAAACCGTGCTCTATCCCGTGCCAATCTCATTGCCTCTGACACACCCATCCCAATTACCCCAGTCACTGAATCAATCTACCTCATAGAGGGTCTTCCCCTCCTGTGCTGTCCCTCTACTCTACCCAGCATGATGTCCCTCTCTAAAGACCTGTCTCTTCTTAAAA